GGACCGAACTTCAATCAATCCTAGAAAACTTCAATTGGAATTTTTAATGAAACAAAAACTCATTTTAGTGATTGACTAGGTAAGGGCTTCGAAATCCCAGCTTATGGGAAAAATCGAATTTTCGAAGTAAAATCAGTGGTCGGTTCTTACAGAGACGGCCTCCTAAGAATTCTTACTGCTTGGAGGCTGATCAGTTGGCTATTTACAAGTTAGACATGGAGGAGCTGAATTCGGGACCTGCGAACACAAATCCATCTAGCGGTAGAACGAGGAATTCTCCGTTAAGAAAAGTAAAGAAAGTGTGGCACGGCTGGCCAATCCCTTGAAATAACACGCACTAGTCCAAGTAATCATGCCTTTGAAATTTGCCCAATTCTAATTGGTAGAGAGAGTGCAACACAAATAACTAATCCATAGAATCCAAAACGTATAAAAGAAGCACAAAGTTCTGGGTAAAGTGCCCCTTCACGAGTCGTTTTTGCCTCCTGTGAACACTGGTACATTTTACTAGATACCTTAATGATCATAACGTGAAAAGGATGTTCTCTTACCAAGAGATTCATCAGTCCGACGCTCATCAAAAACAGGCACAAAAAGAGAAATGTGTATGCCGCTGATGGAAATGGATTAGAAGGATCTTGCTTTTTGTACAGCTCAACGAAGTCTGTGAAGTCGAGCTCTCCAACCGTCATAACCAATACACGAAGAGTGGAAAGAGGCAGGTTGCGGAATGAATCCTGCAATAAAAATATAGTAAAACAAGAATGATGCCAAGAATTAATATTTATCGTGGCTGCTCTAATATGTAACTAATAATCGTGTAGTAGTTTCCCTGGATTGTGGGCGGGACGAACGTTTAGTCGTTTCTCGTTGGTTCTAGTTCCAACATAGCCACATGATAGTTACAAGTAGGAGAGGAAGGAGTCACAATTGTTGCTAAGTTTGAAAAGCCATTCGCAACGTTAAATTGTCGTCATGCTCTTCTCGCCCGGCTATTTATCAAAAAAGACAACGAAAGCGAGTTAATATTGCAAGTTAATTTTGGTAGCGCAGAATAGCGCCCAAGCCTGTCAGCTGCATATTCATTTGATATATTTCTTTTGTTTTCAATCAGGTCCAATTGATCTTTTGCGAAAACATATCTGGGATTAGATTTCGTCAATTCTCCGCATGAAAGATGTGATAAAGGCCATTGGAATAGAACTTCAGGTAACATTATAAGTGCCGTTAGTGGCCAGGTGGCGCAATGGCTAGCGCATGCTTTGGACTCTGTCTCCGTGTTGTCTTTCGTGACTTCCATGGACTGTTTCTGTTGTCTTTCTAGCTACTGTCATCTTGTCTGCATAAGACCCTACCAAAGTAATTCAGTAGGTATACTGGTAAACGGTCAAAGAAATAAAGGTATGAGTGGCGGGAGGTGGTGCGACCTGCTACGGACAAGCATCCCATCTGAAGTAACTCAGTCAAACTTTATACACATGGATACACATGCTACTATTCAGGTATTATTATATTAAACGAATTAAGAGTGCTCATCGTGGGATTTTTCAGTTTCCTTGAGATTATTAAACACGGGTTTCTCACATTGAAAGAGAGAGACGAAGAACCAAAACTTCAAACTAACGCAAATACGCCCATGATTCAATGACATAGTTTCAAAACGTGACAGTTAATTCCGCCTTTAGGAGGCGCTGGAGTTTTCAGTTTTGCCGCAGGAAGAGATAGCAAGATTTTTGCTAAGTTACCTGGGTGGGATGCTAGTCCATCGCACATTAAAGAATGAATATTGTCGATTGTTTCTTAGTCGAGTTGTCAATGCGGATTGATGCTGCTTGGTGGTGTCTAGCCGCCGAGAGCCACAACAGGATGACCCCAACCAGCACTAGATCCAAGACCGCTCGATTCGAATCAAACGTATTAACAATCTGACCACCGCCACACTCATTTCTCAATAAGGCCAATCGGTAACCGCTCTTCATCATACCTTATCTTTTCTTATAACTTTTACCTGCTCCTGAAATAGAATGTAAAAGACCAGTCCAAATCCCAAGACGAGGAAAACGAATACCACCATCACTTGGACAACAGTCTTGATCACTTCAGTATACATTGAGATATAAGTACCAAACAGTTGATATCTTCTAAGGAACAACAGCATGTTCGTATAGCACCCAAAAGTCGCCACACCCCAGGGAATCCAAACTTCGCGTGGGTCGGCGTCAGCAGATGGCCAGATACCCATGGCTCCCGTGATACTGAGGTAAAAGATCCAGCGAAGGTAATTGGAAGTGTCCTTGAAATACCTCCAACGCTGCATGTATATAAGAAAAAATTCTTTGCATAGGTGCAATATGAAGAAAACCGAGCAAATGATTGGCACTGATTTTGCAAAGGCAGAATCCTCTTCGAATTCGTAATAAATATCTGGTTCTCCAGATTTGTTCGTCTCTGGTGGCACATCAGTGATTAGGACTGATTCCGCAAAGGCAGAATCCTCTTCATAATAAATATGTGGTTCTCCAGATGTGTTCATCTCTGGTAGCACATCAGTGACTTTCCTTACTTGAACAACAAATATGCTCAGGAAAATCAGCAAGATAAAATATGTGACAAAATCGCCGAAAAATCCGAACTTTCCCAACATGCTCCATTTCCTTTCGTTGAATTTCAGTGTGAGAGGATGAAGAAGGAGCCGCTCGCGTTGATGCTTGATCATCGTTTTAACTGTAGAGAACCTTTTTCTGCTTTCCTTTACCTCTGGACCAGGATCCAAATACTTAAAGTCGTACGTGATGGTGTACTCTGGGTCGGTAGTATTGAGATGTGGAGAATAGTGCACGCATTGAGTCAGGGCGACTTCGGCAGCTTCGGGGAAATTTTCAACCAGGAGTGAGATTGAAGTCTGCCCAGTTTTAGTCTGGTAGTTTTTAATTTCCACCCACCTTAAAACAAAAGAAGAAAATAGGTTTGACCTATAACGCTGAAACTGAAGATTTACTTTTTCTATGAACGTTTGAAAGAGCTTGGTCAGTTCCTAATGGTCATGATGGAAAACAAAAACGTCTTTGCACTGGTTAACGACTTGCATAATTATTGTGTTGTTAATTTATATCAAGGTAGGCTTTAACAAGGAGGAGATGTCCTAATACGATCATTTCAACTATATAGCAATTTTAGCAAAATCGTTTTTGTGGACTTGCACATGCCGATGTAGAGAAACAAAACCTTCCTTGAGCCAATTGTGAAGAATTTTGATGCATAAATATGAAAACACAAGCGTCCCAAGCTCACGTCTCGAGAAAAAGGAAAAATTAATCCTCGGGCACGCACGTATCCATTCATGAAAGCGTCACGCGTTGTGTGAGTCTGAACTGACGCGGGAACCGTTGAGAATTTAAGCGCGTTATAAGAAGTTGAAAGGGGAATAAAATATCGTCGATTTAGAGCACAAAATATTCCGAAATATGAACATTTTACAAGTAAGATTAATGAACTCTCCCCTTGTGTATCCCTTGTAGTTTTTGGTGATCACTACCATTTCGGGTTCTCTCTGCTCTCTGACTGTTATTCCCTTCGTTTGTTGTTGTTGTTGTTTTTTGCACAGGGAAAACTTTTTATTTCATTTCTTAATATTACTCCCAGCAGCAACTAACCTTTTGTGTTTTACAATTGTCATGGCAACATTAGAAGATCCTGCCTTCGTTGCTATTTCTAAACAACCGTTTCCTCTTTTGTTGCAAAGCATCAAACTTGTCCCGCAGTCCAAAAGTAGACGAACTATAGCTGCATGGCTCTGTCCACAAGCCACGTGTAATGCAGTGTCACCATCTCTATCTTGGAGGTCGACAGAAGCTTTGAAATCAAGCAGAATCTTAGCGCATTGTAGGTTGTTTTTCTGAACAGACCACATCAAAGCTGTTCGGGAATTGTTATCTTTACTGTCAACTTCTGCTCCCAGTTTAAGAAGTGTCTCACAAGCCTTTCTGTGAAAAAAAAAAAACAAACCTCTTGGTGATTAATATTGAACCGTACAAAAATTTAAAGCGGATTGAACCTTCGTCTTTGCGCGTTAGCTACATTTTTTAATTTACGAGTGTTTTTACAGGAAAATTTACCCATGCACTTTCGTTGACTTTTGACGTTTCAAATAAGAAGGTTGGCTCGCACGACTGACTTTTAAATTGTCTATAATTTTCAAATCTAACAACAAATTTCTTTCCTTACTTTACGCATGTTGTTATCACTGTCAGTAAACTTTTTCATCAATCCAAACGTTATTCATTTTCTGACTTTCTTAGAAAGCAATGGAATTCAAGATGACACATGTTATGTCGTCATGTGATATTAACTTGATATCTTGAGATATGCTATGGCAAAGAAAACCCAAGAAGAGGTTCTAACCTACCCCATACTGGCTTTTCTGTACCAATTAGTTGATGAACAAAGAATCCCTTGAATGATGCATAGAAGCATCGCTATGATGGGAGCAGGAATATACTTAGAAAAGGAATACTAATTAGCTCTTATTAACCAGGCAGGAGGTCTGTATGGGAGACCTGACCGAGGTCGTGAGCACACACCGAACGCAGCGAGGTCTGTACACATACACGACCGAGGTCAAGATTCTCCCATACAGACCGACTAAACTCGGTTAATAAGATGTTTATTAGGTGGCAAACAAGAACAATTTAATTCGTTTAATGTAACTGGTTTGTACTAACTGACATTTTGCTTGCGAACAGCGATGACCTGAACTTAATTCCGCCAAAGTCTACTCGTCCTCTTTACTTTTCTTTTCTCATCAGACTTTTTGGCACTTCCATAAAATAAACATTGTTGGAAGAAAATAGTCAATATTCTTGTATTTTAGTTTGCAACATTGTCACCGCAAAACATTACCGGTCTAGATGCCTGTCTGGATGGGAAAATCTAGACCGCGTTCAATATCGATTTCAGACAATCATATTCGTGAATTCGGTAGTTCCCAGTCCTTGTGAGACACAGCCATATAATAAAGGAAAATATCAACTCTATAAATATCGCGGCGTTTTCTGATCCGTGACCGCAAAATTTGCAAAAACTCATCACCTCGCTTTTGATTGATCCACAAACGATGGAATCAAATGGGTTTTACCGTTGGCCTTTCCTGGCAGCACTGTGCAAAGGTGTTCGTCCATGTTCGTCTCGTTCGTTAACACCAGACATCCGCCTTGCCAATACTTCAACGTGTTTGGAGGAGGCAGATTCTGAAGCTAGGTGAAGAGGTGTCTTTTGATTTTCATCTCGATATGACAGATGCTTCTGTTTGGATAAGACCAGCTCTAAGATCTACAAAGGGGAAAAATCAATCACACAAAGGTAATTCTTCAGTATTTTTCGTACCATAAGCTATTTACGTTGATTTCATTTAACTTTCTCTCTCTTTTCTGTCAATTGAAATGGAATAATAAGTGAAACTGATAGACGTGCAAGGAAACTAAAGGACGATAATCCGAAGTTCTTTTAGAAATCTTCTTTAATCTTTTCAAAATTGCTGCTAGTGTTGACACATATCTTACTACTTCATATCAACGTTTTACTTTTATATCTTTTGACTTGGCAGCGTAGTGCAAAGGAACCCTATCCCACAAATCTGCTTTGTATAAATTTGTTGTCCCAGGATGACTCTCTAAAAGCATCGCAAGCATCTTCAACTGCTCATTTTCCACCGCGATATGAACACAGGTTTTCATGAGCAAATCGGTTGCATTTACGTCAGCACCAAGTTTAAGGAGAACCCTGGCCGAGCCAACATGCCCTGCCGCAACGGCGTTCAGGAATGGCGACCGTCCCTCGCCATCATGTGTGTTCACTTTGGCTCCATTTTCAACAAGAAGTGAAATAAGTTTGATGTGGTTAAACTGAGCAGCCCTGAAAACCAATGCACAAAGAGACAAAAATTTTAGTTAGAATAACATGGGTGACTGAAACAACTAGGGGTATGGCTCAGTTTTGCCTCTAAATGAGATTTGTCTATCGCAGAGTACCTCCTGGAAATATTTCCCCGCAGGTTAGGCTTTGGTGAGGACTCCTTCCTGAGGGCAAGCAAGAGCACGATAGGCTTTTTTGGAGTGCAATGCAATCAGATATTTTCTGTCAGGATCTAATTGACTTACTTAATTTCTTTTCTCCTCTGGGACAATAGGGCCAGAAAAGGATCTGCTAAGAGTGTAGCTTATTTGCGTTCTTGTCATGAACTAATAAACACACTTCACAGAATCACCGAATTATAAAAAACCCCAATCGAAGAAAAGCTCTAGAAAACTAGAGTACTTGCAGTACTATAAACTACCTACAATCTGGAATACATCTATGTCCCTTATAACAACTCTTACCTGTGAAGCGGTGCTTTGGAATCCCCGTCCTTCATGTTAACTCCAGCTCCTCGTGATATTAGCAACTCCGCCATCTCAAGATTCCCTTTAGTGGCCGCCATGTGTAGTGGAGTGGTTTCCTTGGATTTCTTGGTGTTGACGTCTGCGCCATGGTCAAGGCACAGTTTAGCGGTCTTGACATCGTTATTTAAGGCAGCCATATGCAAAACAGTGTTATCCTGCAAGTCCTTGTTATCTAGCAGTTGCTTTAATTCAGTCGTATCGACATCTCTGTCAGCGGCTGTCAAAGAGAGGAAATATAGTTCAGGAAGTACCACAATGACGGCAAATATGTGTTTCACGCATAACTAGATACAAAACGCTGAGTTAACAACGTTTAATTTTAACTTTTTCAACTTTTCCCGCTAACAATAGTTATTTTAATGTATTTCATTGTGTCTTTTGATCACTTTTTCCTTTGATTGAGAGTTCAGTCACGAAATTTTGCGCTTTTCTTTTCTTGTCCTTTTGTCGGGTTGTTTCGAAGTATTTTCGAGCTTAGCTGTTGCAGTTGCACGGTTGTTTGTAAATCGAATAAGCATAGGCTGAGTATTCCGCTTGTAGAGCGCTGAATGGACCAATCGACGACAATAAAGAACGACAAAGAACTAAAGGTTTGTGACCGCTCTCGTGTTTTCGATTTACGTACACCGCACGAAGCATTGTCAAGATAATTAAGGCATCTTAGAATGAGTCAGTTTTTAAGCCATGAACTAAACAAAGGTAACTAACATAGCAAATTACTTAATGCCTTTAAATTCGGGATACCATTGCACGCGTCATCAGGTATCTACGCGGTATGTCCTGTAGCTCAAAGCAACTGGAAACATCACTAGGGAGCAGCGCAAAAAACTGCGAGAGCTAGCAAAAAAATAGGGAAGTTGAACGGAGTGGAAAAGCAATCATGGAACACGTTTTTTCGCTCTCTGTGCCATACCTCCTCCGCGTGTTTCAGCCTGAGGTCAATTTGGTTCAGACTCAGTATTCTTTATTAAATTATATTTTTCTTACTTAACGAGGGAAAATTACGAAAAAAAAATGTCTGAATGAAAGCCAGCCGACCTTACTTTTCCAAAGACATTTGATGTGAAATAGGGTACGACTGATGGACTAATTCGACTACTGATCACGTGGCTAACACAGCCACTTCCATGGCCATTCTATTTTCTAACCTCGGTTTATTATCATTGTTGCCACCTCAGAATGACCATTCAGAATGGCGTTGTGGAGAGGAGTCGCGTTGTCTGTCGTAACCGCCTTGATGTCCGCTCCATTGTCCAGTAGAAGCTGGCAAACTCTGTTTTGTCCTTCACTGCATGCCATGTGCAACGCTGTTTTTCCAGAACTATCCCTAACATCAACTTTGACTTTCGGGTGCTCTAACAGAACTTTAACGATCTCTTCGTTTCCTCTGCGCGCTGCAAAGTGCAATGGAGTGCTTCCCTTTTTACCTTTGATTGAAGGGTCAGCACCCCCTTGTAAAAGGGCGTCAACAGTGGAGAGGCCATTGAACCTACAACATATATGTAGAGAAAGGGTTTATATGTCAAAAAAATAACTAGAATCATTGTCAAAATGACGTTGAGATATGGTTTGGAATAACCACAGGGAACCGAATACTATATCAGCAGTAGAAATAAATGTGCTGACATTTACGTTTGCTAATTTCTGTGTCTTTTTGAGTCGTTTAGAAGGGATTTCAATGAAGCCAAGGCGGTTTACATTTTCGAATATTATCTCGCCTGCCGCTCTGTAATTATGACACTCCGATTACGTCTCAAGTTTCGATTAACGTCGTTAACTATTACCTCGCGGCCGAGTTAACGATTAACTCGATGAGAGTTAATAGCTAACGACGATAATAGAAACTTGAGACGTAATCGGAGCGTCATAATTACAAAGTGGCAGACGAGATAATATTCGGAACTATAAACCGCCTTCGCTTCATTCAAATCCCTTCTAAACGACTCAGAAGGACACAGGAACACGGGTAAATAACAGGACATCTATTTTTACTGCTAATATAGTGTTTGCGTCCCCTGTGGAATAACATCGCCACAAAGTTAAAAAGGCCGTTAAAAAATTCTTAAAATTGGACAGCTCGCAGTCTCGTTTTTCTTCGAAATTCAGCAGGATTATGAGTCGTGACGAATTAGCCTAAATGAGATTGTGATGTGACGAGACATGGGCACAGCACGCATTTCTCAGCTCCTTCTCATCCTTTCCAACCTTTTGCATTCGCCGGCGATAAACACTCGTCAGGCAGTAACAGAAACGACCAGCTGCCAGCATTCTTTCTGAAGATCATCTGGGATTATATTACTTATGTAATAATAATAATAAAAAAAAAAACAAAAGCAAAACAAAACTGAACAAAAACAGACTACTAAAGAGCATAGCAATTCTTCGAAACATCATGTGCTGGTCTCAACCATCGCATGACGATCGATGACTGCGCTCGGCATACCAGAGGTTTTGCTGTACCCCTGCCCACCATGGGGGTCGCCACGGGATACGTGGACCGTAATAGCAACGCAATTTATACTGGCTGAAAATGACCCAAGTTCAGAATCCTCTAACACTCGCACTTCTTCAACACCAAATCATGCTCATTGCTTTTTAACAAGTGATAGCGTAACTAGAGGGAGTTATAACAGTGATCAGATTCAAATGTGCACTCGGTCGGTCGGTTGATCATCCATCAACTTTCAGTGGTAATTCCGCTGACCAGTGTATTCCTTGAGAGGGGCGTCACTTGCCCGAACGTTGTGAACAAAATGGCTGCTAAACTGAAAAACTGGTCGATCTTTCGTGTTTGGAGTCGAACAAGTGCTATCAGTTTAAAGACTGTTCGGTGTAAAACAAAGGTGGGTGTATAATTCGATAGTCTTTTCACGTTACCAAAAATTATGTGCGGGAGTCTTAAACTCGAAAAGTGTTTTTATTGCGCGTGATATTTCAAATGTCTATACTGTCTCATTTTCTTATATAATAATAATATTAATTTTATGGCTGCAACATTTTTAACTCGTGAATTGCGCGCATGCGCAAGAGCG